CACCGCTGCATACGTGCCAGCCGATTGACTGACAATCCTCTTTTTCTTTTTCTCTCTCTTTCTCTTCTCTTTCCTCGCTCTCTCTCATCTTTAAGTCCCCCTACCCATTCTCCCGGCATAAAGTAGCAAACCGGGCATGTGCCTGGTTAACCTCCCCGCGCCTTCCCTCTTGTTGTTCATCCCCCCCCCCCCCTAAACCTGGCGTGAATTGAAACTGGTAGGGGAAGGTAAAATGGTCAGATGAATATGACGCGCCGGTCAAGACGTGAATAATGTCACAATCTTGTCGCCTACGTCGTCAAGAACTTTCCCGTAGGCTGTGGAACATAGCCGCGGGCGGGTTTGTACGAGTGGTTTGCGAGTATATGCCACAGGTGATTGACACTTGGTATCTACCCAGGAACGGCGAAAAATAGACATGGCCAGTTTTAACGCATGATTTTCAAGCCAAACCCGCATGTCGGCAACGTAGACCCGACGTGTGCAAACGATAAATGTCAAGTACAAGCATGGAATTGAATGCATTCTTCGCGGCAATCAAGCTTTCTACCCGTGAGCCACGCTAGGTCTCAGGACCGCTTTTTAAATAGACATTAATGTTTGCGCGACGTCAACTGTGGGTGCAGTGCTCGCTATCGCATTTTATAAACATTAAATATGTGCTCCTATGATACAGCCAGTCCCGTCGAGTTAACGTCAATTATAGTTAGGATGCAAGCGCTGAAGTTGATTTATGTAGCAGTGTCCAGGGACCATCCTTGCAAGCAGGAGCGCTTCATATCAGCTAACCGCTTCTGGTGTTGCTAATACTTATGTTTCTTTTGGCATTCTGTCGCAAGTGCCGAAGACTGGTTATATAAACATCTGCAACTTTCCGACATATGCCTGTGCGTGCATACGTTTTTACATGTATTTACGTCATTTCATGACGTGTCATTAAAAAAATTTTGGGACCCTATAGCTTCGTCTTTAGGAGTTGAACGCGATAGCGATATCCCATTCCTATGCGCACTTTGAACACTTGGTGCATGAAACCTTTTCGAACTTGCTATGCACCCACTTCGTGGCCTTAAAAGAAGAGACGCAGTAGTCTAGGTGCCTTGTGTACTGAATGACCGTGGCTCTAAACCATGACACCATTATGATGATCGTATGTTCTGGCCACCGCTGACAATGGGCGCTAGTACCATGCATTAACACTGCAATATTTCATGTTGCATTGTAAACCATGTATACAGGACGCCTTTTTTTGTAAAGCGTGTGTTACTTTCACTGCATTTACAAGCATAGAAACTTCGTTTCACTGTATTCACAAATCCTGAAACAATGGAGCGTTGCGCTATTCATCGCCGTGATGCAATTATTTCTGGGACTTATTCAAGAGAGTGATCGAAAAACGATTTCCAATTGCGGCTCGTGGGGTAAGGTTCCTACCGCTCAAAAAGATCATCAACAATGATCCATTATAAGATTTTACTATGTTATTGTGTCTTTATTTATTATAAATTAGCCGCATTTTTCGCAGTCATGCTGAGCCCCCCCCCCCCCCCCCTGCTCGACAAGGCCTGCTTTTCTAGAAGAATCAGCCAATGTCATAGTGTTGTTGAGAGTTTAGACCTTGCTCCGGAGTGGATTGCACTTGTGTACATGGGTGTTTGTCTACCAGACGTATGAAGGTTCGTTGGATTATGTTAAATTGTGTCTTTCGCGTGTGTGCCTACGAGCATATTTTCAAACGATAAGATATATATGTGTGTGTGTGTGTGTGTGTGTGTGTGACATTTGATTTTCTTATTTTATTGCATTAAAAAATCACACTCGTGGCTGTGTTGTAAAACATCCACTTTCCACGCAAACGATCCGGGTTCGATCCTCACTGTGACCCAAACGACTCTGGCTGGGTCCCCACTCTGGCCCAGGATTCTTTTATCGTTTATTTTATTTAAATCGTTTTAAGTTTTCGGTCACGCACGAGATGATAATTTTTCGCTCAGAACCAACCACGTCGTCGTCGACATTGACGTTACTGACGCTGGAATTTCTGTGAAACGAGCTCTTCAACGTTATCACATTAATAAAAAAACAATAGTCTTCTTCTCTGCGTGCTTCGCATAACGTCGATTCTCAAGGTACATGGAATCTGCCGAATTTTTATTTAAATTTTTTTAGGAATTTAAAATTAGAGCAAAAGAACATGAGCATAAGCAAGGGGCTATTAACATACGTGTATTGTGGAAACGCGCAGCGAAACTTCGGAGTTGTTTAAGCTAGACACATCTGATGGCCATCCAGACGAAGAAGTGTGGGCGAAATTCCGCACAGACAAACGAAGACAAGTCGACACGATGATATCGGGGCACACTCATTGGGGATTTATTTATTTAATCCAACTTAACTTTACACAATGAGCTAAATCAGAAATACAAAACACGAAAAATGATGGCATACCCCTAGGCTCGCATGACTGGTCTCCGGTGTTCAGATCGCTGTTTACCCCGAGTCCGCTCATCCCGAAAAGGGCCCGAGTCACTGCTTAAATAGGATTTTTCAGCATTCACGGTTGCGTGGACCAATCCCAACACGAGTTTTCATAATCGCGTGAAGCCTGCCTCGCAACAAAACTGTAGCAGCTTCTTAAAACGGGCACATTCTCTAAAATAGCCTTGACGTGCAAACGAGTGCTCAAATTTTGATTCCCGGTTGCCCCGAAGAACACAAGCGGCGGCTCGCTCGTTTAGGGTGGTGGTGGTAGTGGTTAGAAGAGGAGAAAAGCACCTAATTTCTGCAGCCTGGTCGGGAGCACGGCGCAGTGACTGGTTTGGAACGCGGGGCGCACAGTGACCGACCGGATGCAGTGTTTTTCTCCTCAGACTCTCATTCTTCCTCGAGGCTGCCTCCTCGAGAAAAGTCGTGGAATAGCGCCTCTAACAAGAGCATCCGACGAAGAAAGAACTCCAGCAATAGCTGAAAAAGAAAAAAAAAAAAAGCTTTCCGCGAGACATTGCCTTCGCGACAGCGCACTGAAATACATACGCTCATTTGAGTATGCGCCTAGCACACATCGAAAAAACGCCGCGGTAAGCAATTATACGACGAAGTGCCACAATCCCACAGATCAAACAGTGCTTAGCAGAGAAAATATTTACGCACATTTAGCTGCTGCAGCTGCGACTGCGCGCTGTTGTGAGTCATGTGTCTACAGCTCTGAGATTTCAGGTAGTGCGAGCTGTACAGCTTGGCTGGCTTTAGATTCCTTCGATCTTTAAAATAAAAGTCACAGCTTTGCCGTAAAGGCGAAGCAATGAACGCGGTAGCAACAAATGGGAAGGTCACGCGCAGAATGGCAAGCAGATCGAAATGTGCCCCGCGTTTCTCACGCACAAAGGATGTCCGAAACGTATCACAGGGACCGATTAGCGCGAACAAGCGTCTCAGTAGTTACTTAGCAGTGTCTAAATAGCGTGCTCTTTTCGCAAATTGGGGCTGTGCAACGATTGAATTGACCTTTGCGCACCCAGTAACTGCAACAGAGTCGTCCAGACAAAACTCAAGGACTAGCCAAGACGTACGACTTTCCCCATTGCAAGATAAGGGTGCGCATTCGAGCATACACCCCCTTATTGTTTACGCGGGCCAAAGTACGCGTGAGAGGTGAGAGCCACCCCACGCTCACTGCACCATCTTGCTGATAATGCTGAAAACACGTTAGTTATCCCCCGAGATGCCCGCCAACAGCGGTAAGTGGTTGATATGAATTGCTTGCCGTTTGAACGTTGAAGAAAGTACCTCTCGGTGACTTGGTGGTTAACGCCTCGAATTCTGTACGCGGAGGTCCCTCGTTCGATTCCGCCCGCCGGAGCCCTTTTTTTGGGTTTTTTTTTACTTTCTTGCGTTTTCATATATAGTGATACGTATGCGTGTACGGTGCATGACATCGACGCCGACGTCGGCGCCGGTGGCAAAATCCAGTCGAGAGTGTTCATATAAGTGCAATCGCAATAAAAAGAAAGACCCAATCTCTGTCAGCGTGGCTTAAACAGGTCTGCATTCTTCGTAATACGATTCATACACAATGCTCTATGATCAGTGGTATTTCGTGGTGATATTACGCGCTGTTATGATGTATCACGGAGCATGCACGACCGAGTGCACAAACTTTGGTGGGCGTTTTCGCAGTAAAATGTTTTTAGCAATGCTTTTCCTTGGCTGCCTCGTATTGAAGAGTCCGAATTCCTTCACGCGAAGTTTCTTTTGTCAAAACGCAAGACCATCTAGCCCAACAGTCCGCCCTACTAAAGCTCATTAGAACGTCAACTATAATGTCTTTTTGAAAGAATATTTATCTTAGACCACGAAAATACTTTATACAGGACTACGCCAGTCAGGACTGCTATAGAAGGCTGCTGTAAATTGGAAAGTCACTATGACGAACCAAGCGACACCGATTTCATAAAGCTGCTTTGGTTAAGTACGGAGCGTGCATTAGTTCTGATTGCACTGCCGATGACTGATCCATCCTGTCTTATGGTCCAATCATGACAACCGAACCAGGAGTCCAAGTTTCTGTGAACGTTTATCCTAAAAAGCGAAGTCATGGCTGTGTCGCAAACTGCTCAAAAAGAAATAATAAGGAGCAAACGTTGTGAAGAATGCGAACACGTCTGCAAGATTGCCGGCACTTTATGGAAGAACAAAGAAAGAGTGCAATGATTTTTTGGCAAGGAATGTTGCAGTCATAGATAATTAAAATGGTAACAATTTTAAGGTCAACTACAACGCATTTTTTTTTACCTTTTTCGTTTCCGCCAGTACGCCTAATGTTGGCACAAAATCCCCTCTCAGGCTTATTGTGAGGCTTAAACCATATTCAGCAATCAGGTAATTAGCCGTCGTAGATAGGTCTCGAATAATTGTTGCTCTAACAATCTATTCAATTTTGATATGATGGTACGCATATCATAATGATCAAGATTGACGCGTGGTTCTATGTGAAGTTTTACCTTTCCGTGATATTCTGCCAGGTTTCCCCACAGCAAGTTGGGTTTTGGGCCAGGTATTCCGATTTCTTTGAAGTAGGAAAACGTCCTCAGGCGCCATCTGTGGGATGCAGTTGCAATGAAAAGTGATATTTTACATAGTGCGTTGTGTGAAAGGCAGCAGAGAGCACAAGTGCCTCCAGACTAAATTTTTCTAACTGGCACTCTAAATGCCCATATAAAAGTGTATGTGATGAATTACATTTTTACGGATGATTAGTTTACTAGAATTAATAATTTGTACAAAATATGTGTCATTGTGTTTGGTGAGGATTACGAGAAATATAGGTAGCTCGCTCGGAATAACAATTTTACTTGATATATAGCACTCGTTTAAAAGGAAGCACCACTAGCAACAAACCAAGCAAAACACCACAGTCGAAAGAGCAAAATAGAAGTCAGCTTTTCGTCTAAGAAAACTGCATGTCAGTCAGAAAGGCCAATTAGGAAAAATTTTTCTGTTAGAAAAAAAAAGTGAAATGGAGCAAATGTTTTTTTTTTTCAAGTACTCTAAAAGGACACACGATATCCTGGGCAAATTATTTTCAGAAACGCATGGATAGAAGAAAAGGTCCATGGCTTCTTACTTGAACAGTTTGAAAAGTCCGTAGGTCAGCACCGCTAGGATCGTCGTCCAAACCAAGATTTTTGCGTACAACCACAACGATGCCCAATTCATGGTGATCAGCTATGTGAGGATCGTTCCTGTGTCAACGGCGACCCTGCACGTCCTGTTGTGAAAGAGGAGCCACTTCAAATATAGTTTCTTATCACGCCTACTTTCAACCACAGCAGTATTCATGCTACGCTAAACAAACTTTGTGAAAGTCAGGGAAAAACGCATTTTGTCTGTTTTTTTTCGAGAGGCCGGGTTTCAAACAAAGAAGTTTCTCTGTTTTTCTTATCTATATCGATTAACCTGTGGGAAAGGTGGTAAACAGGCCAACGAGGACCGTGGTGTCGCATGGAGCTTTCCGACTGTTTTTCACGGCTAATCAATTTAAGTGGTTACCGATAGAAAGGTTGGTGACCTGTCATCAGCACGTGCGTTGGCATGAATTAAGAAAGAAAAAGGGCCAGAGTTGACAAAAGTGCGGCTGGTCAAGTTATTATGTTCTATTATCTTCGCGTTCAAAAATAATGAAGAAAACGAATAAAACACCCTGAATTGTTGTTCTCTGTTTAAAGGTAACACGGGACATGTACTATTTTTATCACGTCTAGTTTGCTAGACAAAATAGGTTTTGTCGTGGCACCTTTAATTAGCTACACATGACAAATGCTGTAGAGTAAGCTAACTCTCCATAGTTTGTGATGCTTAGGGAGCTATGCAAACTGTGCAAAGGGTTAAGTCACTCAAAACTAGCTGTACGAGAGCCAAATCTTTTGAGAAATAAGCATAGCTTAGAGATTGCACTGCAGGAATTACGATAGCGTAATACGTGGTCTGTCTATGTATTTGCATTGCGAAAGTGCTCCAGCAGTAGCGCTAGTCTGAGGCCAATAGTATTAGAGCACATCACATGAGTTTTCAAACCACATTTGGACAAATCAGCCGTCATGGAACCTCTTTCATCCACAGTTCTTCACCAGGAAACGTTTTTTGAAGGTATCCAACTCTGGTACGTGTGGTGGTTTTATGGCAACCATGAAAAATATCAGGTTTTCTTCCTCTCTAAGTATTTTTTTAAGTTCGTTAAGGAAACGCTAACTCATTACAAGGATGACATCGAATCGCCAAGTAAATACTTGCCGCTTTTCTGTGCAATCGTTTCCACAAACTTGTTGTATTCACGACGCATGTATCTTTTTTTGCTTAACGAGAAAAATATATCACTGGCCGGAATTCTCTCATCGGTATCGGGTGGGGAATCAGCACAGGCTTGCGCACTGGGGGTGGGGGTGGAAGTTTAGCGCCACACTATTAGATAGTCGGAACTTGCATGCCATTCATGTGCTGAATGCTGTGCTGTCTTCTCTTTTTTTCCCTTTTCCTGTACCTATATTGATCTACCCCATCAATTAATTAATTAATTAATTAATAATTAATTCAGACTACCCATACGCTAAGTTGCTTAGGGAATCGGTGTAAAGACAAAGAAATCTCGACAAAGCGCCAAGCCCCTGTGTGCACACATACATTAGCAGCTAAATATAACAGAACAAAACTTAATGTATACAATAGTATCAAACATTAGAAATTTTTTTTCGACCTCAAGCCACTTAACAAAAATATGTACATAATTGCGATTAGCACAAAAAAATAATGAGAAACTATTTATGCACAACGATGGCTGCCAAAATAAAACAAAATAAAACACAGGTTTGACCCGCAAATGCAACTTACACAAAATAAGAAGATGAATCGGAAGAGGTATGAGAGCTTGAGTTTTAGGAAGAATGTGTGTATCTTCTTTTTGAAGACATAAATGGAGCAACTTTGTTCAATTACTGTCACCACAGTGAAGTGTTCGTTAAAGAAATGGGGAATTAGGTAATTAAGTTTTTGTGTACTGTAAGTTAATATGAAGCGCATCTTTCTTGAAGCTGGTGTGTAGTAAATTATGACTGTGGTCTCACTTGTGAAACTTCTCTAAAATTCATTTTGATTAGATTTACCTTCACGATATACGATCATGGCTATTTTTTATATCAGATAATATTAATGACTTGCAGTTCATGTTTTTCAAAAAAAAGGAGGGGAGAGTGAGGATTGTGTGAACGGGAGGGTAGGAGTTCAATTAATTGCACAGCCTGTTTTTTTGTAATAGACATAAATAGCTCAGGTTAGCTTTTGTCGTCTCAGATTTGGGCGCACGTTAAAGAACCCCAGGTGGTCGAAATTTCCGGAGCCCTCCACTACGGCGTCTCTCATAATCATATGGTGGTTTTGGGACGTTAAATTCCACATATCAATCAATTAGCTTTTGTCGTCATTTCCCATAACAGAAGGCAATATTGAAGGTGTGAATGTATTGTTGCGTAATAAATTCGTCTTTTTAAACATTCTGGTAAGAAGTGGTGTAAGGTGCGTAGCATTCCAACTGCTCGAGAGTTGTTGTTTTTTTTGTAAAGTATTATATATGCACAGACCAATTCAAATATTCGTGAAAGAAGACGCCAAGTAATTTGAGACCCGTAACGTGTTTAATAGGCTGTCCCTAAATAGTAGTAATATTTTTGCTAGTGTATGTTTTTGCTAGTGTATGTCCCACATGTAGAGTAGCGAATTGGTTAACCTAGACTGGTTGACCTGCCTACCTTTTCCTATCTACCATTTACTCTTCTTTTGTCTTGGTGTCATTGTTTAATGAGCCCGGTTGTGGCTACACATGTTGTTTCACAAAGAAGGCAAGCAAGGAGCCCTGATGTGAGCACAAATTGCCGCCTTTGCAAAGTCTAACAATGCCAGGGCTTTGTGAAAATCGTGTCATTTATATAATTTTCATATTTGCATCAATTTCAAAGATTGTTTTTTTTTTTGGCTAGACGAGAAAGTAAAAAAAAGAAGCTCTAATAAAGGCGAGGCGGGGCGCTGCGGTAATGCCCGGTACTCTCCCTCCCTAACGCATAATTCAGTGCACGCCCTATGCGAAATCAAGATAATGCAGTTTTTAAATCTGGTTTAGCGATTAACATGAGTTGAAGCTCACGGCAATAGCTGCTTACCTCTTCTACAGTGTGGATGACTGTTTTTTTTATTTCCGAAGTATACAAATGAGAAAAACCGGTGCACGTTATAAATACGCCGAGGCTTTTGCTGTACGTGTGAGATTACTGAAGTAGGCTATATAGCGGTCATCACATCTCCACCAGCCCTCCATTAATTACGGCGTGCTCCAGCGCATTTGCCCTGGCCACGTGCCTTGTTCCTCGTACGGTGGGCTGTGAGGTTATAAATATATCACAGCGTATCGAGGTAGTTCCTGATGATGACTGGGGCGAAGCGTCCATCTGTCCGTCTATTCGTCCATCCGTCCTGCCGTTCATTCGTCGGTTCGTCCGTCCATCTGTCTGTCTTTCTGTCGGCCGTGGGATTGAATTCCTTCTGCAGCGGCTGCATTTTCGATCGAGACGAAAAGTCTGTAGATCCGTGTAGTGATATTTGGGTACAAATAAGGAACCCCAGAGGGTCGAAATTTCCGGAGCCCTCCATTGCGACGTCTCTCATAATGATAAGGTGGTTTTGGGACGTTAACCCTCACATGTCAATCATCAATCAACTTTCTGTAAGTGTTCGTCACTCCTTCCGCCTGTCCGTCCGTGCTTCTGTCCGTTCATTCATCCGTCGTTCAGTCCATTCGTCCGTCCGTCTGTCTGTCCGTCGGTGCTTTCGTCCTTTCTTCTGCCCGTCCGTCAGCACGTCTGTCCACCTGACCGTCAGTCCATGCTTCAATCCGTGCTTCTGTCCGTCCGCCCGTGCGTCTATCGGTCCATTCGTGCCTCTGTGTCTGGCTGTCTGTGTGTCTGTTGGTTCGTCTGTAACTCACACTAGCACCACCTGCTGAATGAGTCATACAACTAGATGTTTACGAACCGGTCAAAAAGAGACAAGCATGAACAGACCCATGACTTTAGGAGCTTCGCCCCTAATATATCGTTGTATAAAAAATGCATGTGCCCCGCCGCGGTGGTCTAGTGGCTAAGGTACTCGGCTGCTGACCCGCAAGTCGCGGGATCGAATCCCGGCTGCGGCGGCTGCATTTCCGATGGAGGCGGAAATGTTGTAGGCCCATGTGCTCAGATTTGGGCGCACGTTAAAGAACCCCAGGTGGTCGAAATTTCCGGAGCCCTCCACTACGGCATCTCTCATAATCATATGGTGGTTTCGGGACGTTAAACCCCACAAATCAACTAATTATAAAAATGCACGCACATGGCGGATCTTGATTTATGTAGGCGCAAAAGAGTGCTTATACGGGTTCGGCGCTGATGATTCTGGCAGTGAAAAAGCACGGGTGTGCTATGTTTTTGCTGAAATCTTTGAACCGATGTCACAATGCCAAACTTAGAAAGAAAGCAGGCAGACACCGAAAACTCAAAAGCAGTTTTCAAGATATATCCGGCTGCAGTGCTGTCACATTCTTCTATATATACAATTATGCTCTACGTAGACATAAATACTACACTGATAATAAGACGTATATCTCTAAATGCGACAAACACTCACCTAATCGATAACCAAAGCAGACTTAACGGAACACGTTTGATTGAGGACGGGCTGTATCGTGATACAAGAGTATCGACATAATATTTTAGAGATAATTGGGTATCTGTATTTTTGCATAAGGTAAATTTTTGAGATGTATTATTATCTGTATAGTGAAGCAGTTTAAGGCTGCATCGATTGCATCGTGATACCTCGCTGCAACGCTATTTAGTTGATACATCGGCAAAAAAAAAATAAAACGAACCTTATTCAGACTCACTTAAGAAAGATATTTTGCTCCGAGTGCTCGTTGGAACTCACTCGCCGAAAATTTTCCTCAGCCTAACTCGCTCAAACTCGCACGTACTAAACTTTTTTCTTTGTCCGGACTCATGCAGACTCAAGCAGACGCACACATACTCACCGCTTCACATGAGTCTAGGGGAGCCTGAAGGACTGGACTCATTACCCTATCGGCGTAAGCTCCCTCTGTTACTGTGTCAATCATCTTAACGTTAGTACACCATATAATCAGTCCTTCACAATACTACTTTGATATCGTGTATTTAA